TCTGATAAACCATATATATACGACTGTACAGCTTGATGATAAATTCGTTGAAAAGAGTCTCTTCGCTGAATCACTTGTTTTGATTTTATAAGTTAGATGTAACTGACTACAATGAAGACTGGATGGACTTTCGTCTACCATTCTATTATGTACTCTTCGCCAAATTATTATGTACTCGTCGCCAAATTATTATTATGTACTGGTCGAGAATTTAATAGTCCTGACGCAAGAAAGACGGAAATCAGAAGACCAATAGGTTTGCGACGATACTTCTATTTTCCAAACACAGGGAGAATCAAATCACACAAGAGTGTGCGAGCAAAAATATATATGAATGTCCGAACAAGTGTGTGAACAATCAATAGACAGTCTTAACATAATTGGCTAATTATAATGGAGTATCGATCCATATATACATAGCAAAATATAGCAGACATGTCAACAAACACACATATTATATATAATATAAGGGGAATATACATTGTTAAAGGAGACAGGTTCATCAAAGTGAGATGGTCACAGACTTAGAGAGCAACAGAAAGAGAGACCACCATACACGCACATATATATATGGATACATACCACATTCTACTTAAAGTTGTGGCATTTTCGACGAGGTAGAATGAACATAATAATATGCATTTCTAAGCGGGTTTGAACCCTTCAGGGTTTTCGCAGGATCTAGTTTCAGATGGGAGTTGATTCCAAAGAGTGCAAAATATAATGGTGAAAACTTTTATACTAATGGTTTTCTGTGGGTAGCCACCTTGAGAATATAGTGCTGGTTTCGCAGCTGATTATTATTATTGTCCCTTGGGTTCCTAGTGGAACATAGGGCTTCAGCTGCACGTCTGTTCGTGATTCGTTCCGGCCTGGCCATCCAACCTCCAGTATAAAGCGAAGACAGTTGTTGATGAAGGTCTGAAACAGGCTGTTGGAAATCTTATTTGTGACCCGCCAGCCAAGTTTCTGATCCGTATAGAAGAACTGACTTGACGTGGCTTGTAATGAAAATCCGACAGAATTTTGTTGTTGATGATGTGTGACGAAGATTTCCAGATTGATTTTAGGTTGATGAATGTGTTTCTCGCCTTCCCGATTCTCACTCGATTTGACATCCTGGTCCGTTCCGACTGGCTGTAGTTGAGACAATGCTCGCTAGATAAGTGAGTGAATGAAGTAACCTCTTTCAAATCCCCCCGTTGATGGTGATTGACGCTGGATGTTGCTGCTGCTGTTGTTGTTGGTTGGTTATTTTCATAACCTTCGTCTTGTCTGTGTTCACTTGGAGTCCTGTCTTTGCTGCTTCTTCAACCAGTTTGTCGATTTTCGCTTGCAAGTCTTCGATTTTGTGTGACATCAAACATAAATCATCCACACGCGAAATCCAGGCCTTCTAGGTTCTTCACTCGTCGGTCCAGGATATCGCTATCTTCTCATTTCCCACTGTCTGACGCATAATCCAGTCCACCACAATTAGAAATATCATTGGTGATAATAAGCACCCTTGTCTGACTCCTGCGTTTACTCCAAACGCCTCGCTGAATTTTCCGTTGTGGATCACTTCACATGTCCCGTTGTCGTACAGCTGTTGAATAAGGTTGATGAATATTTGGGGAACGCCGTAGTACTCCAGTAATTTCCAAATTACTTCGCGGCCAACACTGACGAAGGCCTTCTCAAAGTCTATAAAGTTGAGGTTCAGGTTTGATTGCCATTCCATGCTTTGTTCGATGATGATGCGTAGAGTTGCAATTTTGTCAGTACATGATTTGCCTTTCCTGAGTTCATCTCCTTCTGGTCGAAATTCTGTATCCAGTGCGTCCTTTAATCTCTCCAGGATGATGCGACTCAGGATTTTACCCGGCGTCGATAGGAGCATGATTCCTCGCCAGTTCTTGCAGAGTCCTAAGTCGCCGTTCTTTGGTAGTTTCACGAGGTAACCTATCCTCCAGTCAGTAGGCACCTTTCCCTCCTTCCAAACCTTTTGCAATATTGGAGTCAGCATATCTGATGTTGTCTCTGGGTCCGCTTTCAGTGCTTCAGGGGGTATTCCGTCTGTCCGGCTGCTTTTCCAACTTTCAGAAGCTTGATTGCGTTCAAGACTTCAGCTCTCGTTGAAGGACTGGTGTCAACTTGCAGTTGTGTGCGCGCTGTTGTTGGTATTTCTGGACGGGTTGCAGGTGATGGTCGGTTCAAGAGTCCTTTGAAGTGATCAGCCCATTGTTTAATCTGTTTTTCTTCCTTGGTAATTGGGTTCTCTTGGATGTCTTTTATAGGTTTCGCTTGTGCCGATCTCTTCCCGGATGGAGATTTGGTTATCTGATATGGTGTCTTCAGGTCCCTTTTGCCTGCTGCCTCCTCAGCTTCAGTGGCGAGGTTGTCGTAGAACCATCTTTTGTCCTGCCTAGCACTCTTCTTCACTTCTTTGTCTAGTGCTGTGTAAGTTGAGCTCAGCGTCTCTTTGCGTTGAATCATTTTCTCTTTCATGGTTCTCCTCTCCGCTATTGGCTTCCAAGTGTCCAATGAGATCAATTCCTTGTCTTGTCTCTTCTTTCTTCCTGGAACCGTTGAACACGTTTCGTTGAGAATCGCCTTCAGAGACTTCCAATGTTCTTCTACGCATGATTCTTCAGTGATGTCGCGTAGTGTTTCCTGCTTTGCTCTGACAGCTGCAGTGAAAGTGTCTTTTGTGGTTGTGTCCTTCAGTAATTGAGTGTTGAACATGCATTCTGGCCCATCCCAGCTATCCTCGAGGCTTTTAGTTTCACCTTGAAAGTCCCTTGTACTAGATAGTGGTCTGAACTCACATCTACTCCTCTCCTCGACCTTGTGTCCAGTAGGCTCCGTCTCCACTTTCTTGAGATTGAAATGAACTCTATCTGGTTTCCGGTGTTTCTGTCTGTTGAAATCCATGTCGCCCTGTGTATATCCTTGTGTTTGAACACGCTGCCACCAATCGCCAAATTAGTAAAGGCGCAGAAGTCTGAGAAGAGTTCACCATTGTCGTTCATTTCGCCGAGGGCCTCGCGACCCATGGTGAGTTCCCTTCCTGTATTGTCTCCTCCTAGCTTCGTATTCATATCGCCCATCAGGATTTGGATATCGCCATTTGGGACGTTTTTCATTACTGTTTGTAGGCGCATATCATTGAATGACTGTAACTTTCCTTCCTTTTGAGTTGAACCTGACTGTCATTATCCTGGAGGAGGTCGGTTCCCACTGCATGAGAGCTTTGGTTGCTGTTGGTGACATCATGATGGCCACTTCCTCGGTGTGCTCGTGGTTGTCCCCTGGGTGACCGGAATAGATTATTGTCTCTCCAGTTGGTAGTTGGCACCTTCCAGTTCCGTTCCATCTGCTTTGACAGATTCCCAACAATTCTATTCTGTACCTTCTCATTTCAGTGGCTATCTGGGCAGCCTTTCCAGTTTCGTACATTGTACGAACATTCCAGGTACCCATCCTTACTTTTGCTTTCATCGAAAGAAGGCACATCGGCTGACTGGTTTCTCGAAGGCTTTCGCCAGCCTGCGTCATTTCACTTCCCCGATTCCAGCGAAAAGTAAGGCTATTGTTTATGTTTTTAGAATTTTTAATATATTTATTCTTTGAAGTTTCCGTAGCGATTTTGTTGTATTACGGGGGTGGAGTTGCTAGCATCACACCACAACCCTCTTTCTTTATCCGGGCTTGGGACTGGCTAGAAAACTAGCAAGGTACTAATCTGGCGAGGTTGACGAATTACCTTACCACAGCCTTTCTCAAGGAATGGCAATATGATATGGTCTTAGTGCTAGAAGCGTCATCATTATCTATATTTAGAGACAGTCTAGTGTCAGGAAACTCGGCGAAGCCATTTCAAATGCATACACAGTTTTTCGAATAGCCCTCTGTTTTTCGAACAAAATCACTGTCTATGTAGGTCAGTGCAACAGTAACTGCTAAAAACGTATGGATTAGAAACCACTTTTTTCTATCTAGTGGCTGCAAAAGCTTCGAAATGCTATGTTTACAACTGTCGAAATAGTGGTTAAGAATGTCACTGTGGCCATACCTGAAGTTTCTGTACAATACGAATAGTAAAATTTCGAAAAAAGTAACCCTGAGGGAGATCATTAGGAGGAAACACTTGACGCCTAAACAATGCCTTTGATTTAGAAAGCCTTCCCAATAGATGTGTTCAAACTGACAGAGTCTGCATAGTTGTCAAGCCTTTGGTTGAATGTATCATCCGATGGAGCAGTGATCATGTTAGCCAACATTTGTGTGCCATAATTCATAAATTCTAAGTGGAAAGAGTTGAACAACACCCGTGTTTCTGTCCGCTGATTGGGAACTATTCATCAGTTTTAGTGAGGTAGACCCCAGCTTCTCGCTGGAGGTACATTCATGTCTCCCTGACTTGAGGTTTTAGTTAATCACCCCTGGCATTTTAGTGTTTAGAAACATTTAGGTTTAGCCTTCAAATTCGGTCGTCATGCAGCCAGTATTTAACTAGAGGACAGGCTATCTTCTGACTGCCTCTAAGGCCAAGAACAAAACTGGTCTCATAATAGTGCAAAGGGATGCTTTTATTACGCCGTTCCTAATTCACTTGGAAAGCCTCAACCGAGGATAATAAGATAGGTGAAAACTTAAAAATGACTATGCGCCTGGTCAGTTCCTCGTTCTAATTCTTGATAAACCTGAATAATTTTGTTCAGAAGCGAAGAAAGGACAAGAACTAACTACATCACCTAAGAGGACAAACTTTCTCACCAAAAAAATAGGATGAAGAACTGACTATCAAGAGAACTAGTAGTGATATATCAAGTAAATTCACTAAACAGGAGATTATTTCATAGAAAATATATATATATATATATATAGAAAAAATATATATAAAATATATATATAGTAAATATAAATATAATATATATATAGAATAACAAGTCATAAGAGTTATATCCTGAAAAGGATGAATGTAAGATTTGTTTGTTTATATTTATCAATAAATGAAGTAGAGAAGGTTGTCAATTTTTTCAATACTTTTCACGTTCTCGCCTGTTGGATTTCTATATTTCAAAGTCGTTGCCGAGCCATGTCAGAGGCCTATATTTTGGCTGCTCTTGAATTCTTAATTCAGTTTGGGGGAAACCAAAATGTTTCAGACTTGTGGGCGCATATGTGCAACAAATTTCATCAAGTTTCTGATTTTAAATATGGCATCGGGAAAAGCATTCACACTTTCGAAAGATTTCTATCGTCTAACCCCTTAGTATTTAACGTTGTTAATAATGTGGTCTGTCTCACTGATATAAGCAATCCAATGAGCGAAGAAAAGCCGTCCTCAAACCAATTTATTAATCGTGGCAATAATTATTCCAAGAGTGTAAGAAATAACCGGAGTAAATACACAATAGAGTCAGAAGCTTCTGCTGTTAGGTATTTTCAAGAACACTTGCTGAGGAAACCTGAGAGATGGGTACCCATTAAGAATTTAGCTGGTCATTTATCACAAGCATCTCCTCACATTAGAATCAGCGTAGGTCCTCAGTCTGAATTTGTCGAGTTTCTTATGAGGCATCCTTTGATATTTGATATTCAAGGCGATCTTGTTGGACTACGGGATAAATTCAAGACAATCTGTTCTGCGGGTCCACCACCCAGTCACAGAAGAAAAATACAGCGGCCCCTGTCATCACACATACCTGAAGATATATATCGAACAGTGCCGTATCATTGTGTATCTAATGGTTCTTTGATTCCCCCACCAACCAGTCATGAAGATCTGTCAGCAAAATCACAAAATAATGATAACATTGTAGTGTGTTTAGATGACTGTAAAGCTATTTTCTGGCTGATGTATGTCATAAAGCATAGTTTCAAGGATGAAGTTGTGATATCGAGACTGCTAGCAGAACTTGCACGTGCACCCAACTCAGTCCGAAATTGTATTGGTTGGACTCAAATTGAGCTGCTGGAGTTTTTGAGAAAATATAGCAGAATATTCAGTGTTGATGAAACTACAGGCGTCATTGAATTACATTATACTAACAAACTCAATCTATTCATTGCTTCTAGACATGTGAATGATTCCTCATGTGGTCTAATAATATCTCAAAAAGGTTGCATTTTCTGTGTGAATAGACTTTGGGGAATTATCGATCTTGGGTTCCACGAGCATGTGTTTTTCGACAGGTCATTATTCAAAAATGTCATGGATCTTACTAAACACTTCAAGGTAAGTATCTAGTTTCCACTCCTATCTTATTATTTTCTTGATATCTTTGAACATCAATTATTGCTATTAATTCTTTTGCCACTAGAAACTGGTAAAATATTATGCGGAGCTGAAATAAAATTTACCAGTTAATGGAAATATTAGCCTTGTATCAATACATCTAAACATATAATCTCCCAGAGCTTGATATAGCTCGATAAATATATTGGTACTGAAAAAATACGCTGAATAATCACTATAATTCACTCTACCGAACATTCTAATTGTTCGATTTTCAAAGCCAAAATATTATCCTAGCTGCATAAGCGAAACTTCAAGTACCCATCACACTTCTGAACAAATTCCACAAGTTACACGTTAATTTTAGCTTAGTGCATGGAAAAGATCATGTTTACAAAGTCAGATCGTGTAGTACCATGTTTTGCGGGTACAATATAAATGGCGAATTTACTGGAAATACAGCAAACGTCTTTCTATTGAATGCTTACTTCTTAACTCCTTGTCAACCCACTTCTTTGTCTCTACGCTTTCTAAATAGAAAACATCTTCAAGTTTGAAGTTGAAGGAGCTTTTGGTGTTGTTTTGCTAGGTAAGCTTGCTGACCTTATGCCTAACCTTCTCCTTATCCTAGCCTTACTGTCAGCTAGTAAACTGTGCGAGATTTTATAGTCTACCAGCCCAGTGTTGAACCCGGTCAATCCATTCCCACTAAATATCATAACTTTTATTGTAGGTTGTTGATGAGTTTTTCGGAATTAGTTGCTGTTTCAGCTGAGTTGTTACCAATGCGCTGTCTTAAAGCATATGATTTGATGCTCTGAATTGGCTCATATATAAATCATTTTATTAGCTGTTATTTTTCATTATAAGCACCAGTATATTTAACATTTCTTTTCGACTATTAAAATTTGCAACATTTTTAAGTCTGCTAACTTGAACTGACAAACTTTTAAACAAACTTTGATGTTTATGTCAGTCATTTAAAATAAAAACAGGTGTGCGAAAGATTAGCTTTTCATTATTATCCTTATTGATCTCAAGTATTTGTTTGGAAAACAACAGTTATCATTTTTAAATAGCCTAAACCAGCCTCTTTGTGTTATTTCGTGCCTTAAATATATGCAATTCAGACATTTGTATTTTAACTTCCTGCTCTTTATAGTCTGGAGATTTTTCTCAGTATTTGTTTTGCTGTATTTTGGTAGAAGTGACTTTCGATAATTGGAAGCTCTGGTTTTCACAAAATTTTTCTTCCAGTCCTTATTAGAATTGTATCAGAAATCAGCCACTATTTTTGCTTCCACGTCTTCATATTCCGGAATACTGTCAGAAGACTGTCACTGGTCTTATCTTGCACTAATCTCATACACAAACTGTTCGAATTAGTTAGAATATTCATGCATGTAGTCGGTTGTGTGTGTGTACTTATAGGGTTAAGGCGTATGGAAGTTCTACTCGCAAATCTAAGGGTTGATTGTTGTGCCTTTGACTCAACTGTAGTATCAATCTAATTTCTATGCGCTGTATTTACACGATGTTGATGTATATGCAAATCTTCATTAGGAAGATTCTTCCTGATAACTTTCTATTTAGGTTCTAAACTTATATATATCCATATTAGTCATATCAGTTGGTATATATCCACTACACAAACGTCTCTTATTAATCAATAAACCTAATAGTAATAATCAATTAGTTTCCTCTTAGAATTATAGCCTTTCGATTTAAATATTGTTGTAATGCAATCCAAAAGAAATACGTATACAACAATGATAGCATGTTTGGTGTAAGATTCGACTGTCAAAATAAAATATCCTAAATGCTTAATTCCAAGTAAATAACTGGTGTATAAGCTATAATGAGGTTATTGAGAACAAATCTTTGGAATCAGAGCTTAAAAATGAATTGTCTTCGATCAATTTATGTTTATAATACTAAATATAAGTAACGATCATTTAGGATTATTGTACATTGTGGTTGAATATAGTTTATTGGATAATTTTTTAATTTTTGATTATAGCTTGATTCCATACCGTATTTTTGGTACAAGTATGGAATTTTCAGCATGTGATATCAGTAACCCAAATTTTGCAGGCCAACCATTTATATTAGGTGTGCGTCGGTAGAGGATCGAACTCCGGACCATTTGTACGGTTGGCAAGAGTCCTAACCACTTTGCCACCGACGCATATAATGAAATATAATGTTACAGTAGTATTAATTCAATGAGATTTAAAGCACGATTTATTGCTAATTATTATGTGAATGTGTTCATGACTTCCTAGCTTCCTTTATACACTTTTACTTCCTCTTGTTTTAATGCAATTTTCTACACACGCGGGATTAGTGTTGCGTCATTCCTACTGCATGTGGTGGTAGTGAAATTGACGAACAAAACATTCAGTGATCAACCTTTTTCTATCTCTCATCCAACTGTGTGATTGCATGTAATTTCATGCACAGCAATGGCTGAGATTTTTTTATAGGTTATTCGACGTAGTTCATGCCTCATGTTCTAATAATCTAACTAAACCCGATCTTCTACTTTGAATTTTGTGTTCAGTCTCACAGTGAGTGAAGTGTGTTTGGTAAATTATATTATATTATTATATTATATTAGAGCGGCTGGATCCGTAAGTCAACAAAACTTGTCCCTGAGTGATTTTGCAGATTTAAATGCCACCTCCTAATTCCAATCTTAATATGAATATTACAGAGGGCTTTCTATCTCCCTTCGTTATGTGATACAACCATAAAGAGATTGAATTTCTTATCATTCATATTATGGTCATTATTTATATTACTGTTCCTCTCTTTACCCTGGACCTTTATGTGCGTCTGAATGAATTCTAGTCCGCAGTTTTTTAGTGACATTATTTTCCCATATTGCAGTTCATTTTATGACTGTCACGGTATTGATTAGAAGTTAAATGATGACCAGTCTATAAAACCATTCTGTAGAGTGAAAGACAGCTGTTTAAGCTTACCATCTATTGACATATAGTGTTTTTCTAAGTGAAGTCGAAACCCCGCCTAGTTTTGGCTTGGAGCTAGCCACCCTATCCCCGGAAAATCAACCCAGTCACTAAAGGAACTTCAAAATACAACGAAAGCAATATAAAAATAGACTTATTCTCCTCTGGAATAGGAGAGACGAAACGACACGAGCCGTCCGAAGCTTATGAGAATCCAGTCGGCCAATATGGAATGTTCGCACAATGCTCCAAACTGTCTAGGAAGGCCGCTCGAATTGCAGAAGAAATGAGAAGATATAGCACAGGAATCACGTACTGTTGAAGCCATATGCTCCAGTCAGAACCCAAGGGGATAATAATAATGATAAGCAGCGTCAAATAGAGTTTAAGACTTAACATCTCTAAACTTTATCGCCTATAACTCAAAAGTACAATCAATGACAGTCATCCCTTAGCTTGCTTGTTTCTTCCACTGTCAGAAGTATTAGGGAAAGACAAATGGTGTTTTGCATAGAATTTGTGTAAATACCTTGCTTCTTTGTAATATTCTTCAGTTGGTTTTTCTTTTATCTTCTCTTCACAATTATTATGTAATTTTATGCGACGTAATAGCTAAACTGAACTTAATTGTTTACTCATGATCATCATCAATTATACTATTACAATACTTTGAATATCAATCGGAAGGAAAATGACTCACTTATACACACTTCACTTACTAAGGGATATCTTAGTAGCAATAGAATGCATGTGGGGTGAATTAGTAATTCCACTGATGGTATTTATGCATGTTGTTTGAATAATCCTTTCTGACAAATGATACTTCATTGAATCAATTCCCCACCTAACACAGCAGACGTTCCTATTAAACCTTTTTCTTTGTGAGTGGAAGGTAACAGGAAGGCATGGGAGACTGAATTGATGAACAATCACAATTCATAATTTTGATACGGTACTTAGAATAATTACTTACGTGTGCAAGTGTTCCTTAATACTGTCACGTGAGAATTAGTCTATGAGTGTTGGAATAAATGCCTAGTACTTTTTTATTAAATCGTCACTTAGCAATTGGTTTTATACTAATGCAAACACTATAACAAAGGGAAAAACCATAAGATTCTCACGAGAATGTTGGACAGTATGTCAGTTAGATTTTCTCATTGTGCTGCTTGGTGCATCGGTGGTCTAGATTCATTTCCTGGCAGACGCACTTGTAAACACCACGTAGTTGGTAGTAAGTCCGGCAAGAAGGGAAGGTTAGTTGTGAGGCAAGTAGCCCTTAAAAAGATAAAATCACAGTTACTGAAACTTCAGGGTTCAAGCTTAAGGTCACATGTTCCACTCGGAAAGCAAAGGCAAATCAAGGCTAAGACTGAAGTTAATCTTTCTCTTCAAGTCCTAATACAGTTTAAATGACGATGGCCAGAAAGAATAAGCAACAAGAAACCATGTAAACAAACCAACTAAGAGCTGATTGCTCAACAAATATGTAGGAAAAAAGTGGAGATGGATCGGGCATACATTGAGGAGGTCACAGAATGACATCGCACTCCAGGCCAAATGGGAAGCGGCGAGTGGCTCGTCATAGGTTGACATGCAGCAGATCATGTGAGGAAGAGATGAGAGAGTTTGGTCAATCATGGACTCAGCTGAAGAGGACGGCAGAAAACAGAACACATTGGAGATGTGTTGTTGAAGCCCTATGTTCCACTCGGAACGCAAGGGAATAATAATAATAAATAATGATGATTTTGTCCGTAAACACGTATCAATCTTGTCAGTTAAATATCGTTCGCCATCTTTGTTAGCATCAAATCATAGTCTGGAATCCTACACTCAAAGTTAGATTGTTTACGAACTAATGATTGGAAGTTATTCTCAGCTCTATAATAACCAAATGCCAAGAACCTGCTGTCTATCAAATATTCAGAAGCAAATAGAGATGAATTGCATTTAATCTGAGGGACATTCAATTGAAGTCACACGCTAAGCAGATCCTCAAGTTAGAACCTGAACGGGAAACGACGGGTTGAGATTCCGAGGGTGATATGGAGAAGATCATATGAAGAAGAAATGAGGACTCGTTGGCAATCATGAAGCCGGTTGAAAGTAATAATGGAGAATTGAGGGGATTGGAGATGTGTCTCTGAAGCCCTATGTTCTACTCATAACGTAGTGAATAAATACCAATAATAATATCATACTAATGAACATATATATGTATATATATCTGTATATGGTCGGTTCATTGGCCTAGATATTCGATTTTCAGGCAATTGGTCTTGGGTTTGAATTCCATTGCACTTCCTTTTATTTGAACAAGTGGGTAGTATCATAATCACCCACACAATAATTGCGGCTCATTCATAGCCTGTTACACGAGAAATTTGTTCTAACAACAACCTTCTACCAATATGTACAAGTACGGCATAAAACTCACTGCAAAATGTATTGTGTATCGATTTGAGCTTTTTTACTTCCAGAGTAACCCTGATTGTACTCACAGAACACAGTAATCATTAGTTTTATAATAGTTCAACTGTCAGGATGGTCACACCCTATATACTTCAAAACTCGGCTTTGTGGTTCTTCTTTCCTATTCGTTTTGAAGACAAGAGAATATTCCAGATATTTGATACATTTGTTGAATCATCCCTATTATACCCATTCTCAATCGACTCCATTTGAAAGGCTTTAAGTATCAATCTCTCCCCAACCCTGCTAAGACTGTCATGTTGTCCCGTCCAAATGTGTGGTCTGTGTGTAACTGCATTTAGTGCTACAACTAAACTTTTCTACCATAGTGTTCAAATTTTATTCATTGGAATGATAGTTTACTTTAAGTGTCGGTTTGTACGGAATTTGATTGGTTACAGGATTTCATCATCAGCCGACATTAGTTAGAGAACCATTGGAAAACCTGGAAGTACTGAACAGCTGTTTCGTCCTAGTTTGGGACTCTTCATCAGTACGCACCCACTGGGATTCGAACCAAGAACCTTCTGGGTACAAGGCAAGCTCGTATACCATTAAGCCACTGGGACCTGATCCAATGGCCCACGAATTCGAACTTCTGCCAATTCACGGTATAGCGCGGCCCCAGCCAATGTCTTCGGCTAGTATTCGTCTTCACACTCAACCTAGTGCACCCTACTGGTCACGACTTCTCACGACTAGAACCCAGGTAACTACTTACCTGAATACGGCAAGTCGCTAGCGTGCATCTCATTGAATAAGGCATTAAGAAGACAAATTTCGCGAGATGATGTCATTCCGTAGTTTCTTTACAACCGCTTTCCAATTAACATGGTTAACAATGATAAAATAAAATTCATGAAAATTACTCAGTTAAATAAAAACAAAAGTACATACTAATGACCAATCATATTTAGATAGGTCATGTAGTCCAGGGTAGGCGAAGATTGAAGTCTATTGATTTTTGTACACACAGTTTAGGCTGTATGTGATTAATCCAAAGTGCTTCCATCACCTTTAATAATCTTGAATTAGAGTTATGTGAAATAATTGTGAAACAGTCATTAGTAATGATTTTGTGACCAGACATTAATAGAGGGGACTGAATTCTAGATCTGAAAAATAAAACTTTAGAATTAATCTAGTGCTCACCAGTGACTGACTATAGGATGGAGTAAGTGCTCTCAGTTCTAGGGAGAAGTCATGACCGGGTCTGGTGGACGGATAGTTACCGGTGACATTGGCTGATGGTGGTGCCATTTACCGTGAGATGGTAGGAGTTAAAATTCCGTAACCATCAGCTTCCGTCCCGCTGACTAAATCATCTTTGAACTTGCCTCGTAACCTGCACGTCTTAGGTCCTATCCCCAGTGGTGTCTCATGATAAGAACCCGCAAGCTTAGAAGAAATAGCTGTCCAGTACTTCCGGCTAATTTTCTTTGGTTCTGTAGCAATCAATCAGTTAGCAATCAAATCTCTGCATGGTGACACTTGGAAAACAACAGAAAAAATAGTACTACACCTTGATATGGTCTCTCCCCAGTCTTTTCACTTTAAATCTGATTCTAAGCGAATATATGAAAATGAGATTGGTGATGCGCATCATAAATAATTCATGGAGTCAGATTTTGTAAAATCGTCACCTGATACGCTTTATTTCAATTATTCTACCATTTTGGTTGAGAGAAATGATGTGAAAATAAAACTGTTATTGAGCATTGTAATTATTCAGTGTTTACACATAGATGGTATGTCAGCACAACTAATAAGTCCCTAGCTTTAACCTATAAATTTTGGGTATTATTCTCTAAATAACATTTATATTCAATAACCGTAGTAAGGATTATTCAGTCATGAAAGATTGGAGATATCAGTGTAATATACTTAGTGTTAAATGGTCAAGATTATTTAGTCTGAAACCTGGTGTTTTTTCACACAGTGTCAAATGTTACAATAAGTGATCTTTAGGAAAATAAATCCCTCCTAAACTTAAACAACTTATTGAGGTCAGAGTATAGGACAAGATATCTATCTCGTCCTAGTTTAGGACTCTTCAGAAATATATCCACAAGCCCCATCTAGGATCGAACCTGAAACGTTCACGCCACGAGGACAATCTGTTCGACTATGCAGCCGATTGGGCCGGAATTCATTGACCCGCCAATTCTAACTTCTATCAATTCTCTGTCCAGTACTCCTGAATTTCAACGGTTTTCTAACTGATATCAATACATGGTCAAATTCGAAACAAATCAAATTCCTACAAACCAACTCTTGAAGATTTCCACTGTCTATATACTATATGTCGTCTTTACCATTCCATTTGTCAAGATCTAGCCTTGTAAAATATGCTCGTTTTTAACTATTGAATCACTAAAACAAATTGTTCAATGTTCAGTAATACATAGACATTTCTGAGAGATATTTTAACGTTAGCTGTCACAGAAATCCATGATTGGCTGGTAAAAGTAGAAGACATGAAAGTGATATAGATTTTTAACCATAAATGTCTTCTGTTCCTTTTTTTTAAAATGAAATAATCATGTAGGTAATTTTGAGACTAATCATAGAATGCCAGGTAAGAAAGGCAAATTAACCAACAAAGTCATGAAGTTTTGTTAATTAAAGTGACAAGGAATAAATAATGTATGCCTGTACATTGTTTTTATTAGCGTAAGTAAACGTGGTTGCCATAATAATGTAAGTCGTTGACTCTACATTTAAGATCAAACGATTAAATTGTACTGTTGGTGAATAGGGGTATAAAATCAATAAGGTGTCCCTCTTAGATGGACAGCAAGTCACTATGCTGTTTGTCAGTCCTGTACAGGCAGTGAGGGAAGGTAAAGAAGGTCGAACCGAGAAATTGTGCAGCCTGACTTAAGTCTTCATAGAGACACAACTGAAAAATCTAACTCAAACAGGTCGTATGTGACCACTCTAAAGCGGTTCTCCCCTAGGGTCGAAAATCTCACAGCACTAAGGCTTCTTTTGTTTTAGATAATTCAAAGAGGAGTCAACTTCCATGGGTCTGTAGACAGCTGGAAAGTAATCACCACCCAGTCACTTCCACGTCTTAGGTGTTTCTTTGAAATTAACGTCAACACAGGTGATTTAGTTTTTTGAGGAAAAGAGTACTCATCATTCTTCTTGATTCCAATAACTAGTGCACATGGTCCAGGGTTCGATCCCCGGCCCATGCACACCTGATATCAATGGTTGGCCTGCTAAATATGAGCTATCGATATCACATGCTGAAAATTCCATACTTGTATCAAAAATATTATGTTGAGTCAAGCTATAATAAAAAATAAAATAAAAATGGTTTGCTCTTACTTTCTACCTGTTTTTTGTTTTTGTCAAGGTTAAAGAGATTGTCTACTTCAATGCTGTTCTAGCGCCCAAAGACTCTCGTGCAAAATGGCGAGCTACATGTGTTTGGAAAGAAACTGATCAGATCATCAATCAACTATCTAAAATCAATCATTCTGACAATGGTATAGTACAACCATCATTTCCACCAGGATCATCCTCAGAGCAACAACAACAACAGCAACACAATCGTCAACTACAATCAAATGATGATCCTGACTCAGGATTAGATAATTCTGATGAACTTATAGATCATAAGAAAAAGTTGAATAACTCTACAAAAAGAGATTGTTCAATAAAAGCTTTATTTGATGAAGATGATTTATCCTCTGAATATGATCTAATTATCAATCAATTTGCTAATGTTCGTATGGTTGATGTCTGGGAGATTGAACAGTTTACTAGTCAAGAAAAACATACCAATAGCCAAATAAGCCCTAACGCAGTTGTAACCGGCGACAGCATCACTAATAATCATAATGATCGGCATCAACAAGCAACACCACCACCACCCCAACAACAACAACATACTAGAACTGGACATCCTATGGCTTCACCACATAATCCAAGTGATCTAGATCGTAGTTCATCAGTGAGTAGTGAATCATTGTCAGATTTGAATACTCTATCAGAAATACCGAGTATTATGTCAGGTATACAACTGGAACCACCGATGGTGACAAGACCTTTAAGCTATGTTGAAAGTACTATAAGTAATAATGATACTAATTGTGACTCTAATTCTAAAATACTTATGCATAAACCAGGTTGTCCATGTAAATGTCTATTATCCACAGAATATTCATTGATGTCACAAAGCAAGGCCAAGAATAGTGTAACTACACAAACCCTTTTTACAGGTGATATTAAGGGGAAGTTGGTTTATCATGAAACTCAAGAGACTAGTAAAATCATTCTTGAGTAGTTGATTATTACTATTATTATTATTACTAAGTAATCTATTTTTTATTAATCCCTTTCCTCTAAAACAACTCTATTTTCCTATAATATACACCTATATATGTATGCTTTATGTGTCTCCTTGTTCGAGACCTTTTTTCACTTTTATTTCATTCAGTAAAATAAAAGTCGTTGTTGTATGTTCTCAGGTATAGTTCAATTCTCATCTTTCTAAAGACGAGTTGTTGACCGAGAAAGTTTTTTTTTGTCATTTCTATTTGTATTGACATGACACATCTGTTTTTATTTTTAACGCGTATGACAAACGCAACTGTTGAGTACAACTCTAGTGTGTGTGTGCATGTTTCATCTTCACTGGTCTTCACTGTCTCTCTATATATACCATAGACACCACCTTGTTGATACTACTGACACTACAATCAACCATGTTATCTTCAAGCTTTTATATTTTTAATTCATCACTATCTGTTCTATGATATAAAAAAGAGTATACAAAATGACATTTTTTATCTATGTAATTGATATTGCATGACATCATAAATAGTTGCTCTCCTTCACTGTCTTCATCATACCTGAATTCTTCTTAACTATGCCTACTTATCCTCTTCCTTCAAAGTTAACAAGATGCATTTGATCACTTTGACACACACTCTCGCACACACACATGCAAACACTCATAAACACACTTGCTTTGTCTTGGTTCTTCTGAGTATGTGCGTAACAAATAAAAGATGATTATACTCTACCTATTGAAGTATGGGCAAATTTCAATAGTGTCATCAACTGTCTGCCCCCCCTCTCTCTCTCTCGCTCTCACCCACACAATAGATTTCTGGTTCAAATTGGCTAATACATGAAACGTCCGCTCCACATAACTGAGATCAAATGAATAAATAATTCACATGTAGTGCCATTCCCTTAGTGCTTTTTACTTCCAGTGTATACTGGATCGGGGAACTTGATGGTTTCCTTGGATTGATTGTGATGCTTTCATTCCTATCAAATCTTGAAAGGAAAATATGAATGTAATGTTTAGTTTCTATGTTGCTGTTTTTAGTTTTATTCTGTTTTTCTCTCTCTTCCCGCTATTCGTCGATGAATTTTACTAGTGTAAGAGAGATCCGTCATTCCTGAGGGCTGTGAACATACATATACAAACAGACAATATTTCCCGCTCTTCATATACATGTATTTCGACACTGATGGAAATGAAATGGAAACGTTTCTTACTTTCTTTTGTATTTTGCTATTGTTTCCCATTGTTCCCTTTTTATCGTCTCCTGATCTTCGCCTTCTCCTCCTCTTCACAGTTTCGTTTTGCTCTGTGTAAAATGGCTTGTGTTATTATATTCATTCAAGAATATAGAGTGACAATGAAAACGATGCTATTAGTTTGAAATAATGTATAATGTACTAATTTTTAGTGATAATAATAATTATTATTAATAATATTACTATCATTCTAACTGTAATCGTAGTAATGAGAAAACAATTTCAATGTCATGATGAATATGTAAGTTTATAATATAAAGAATACATATTTAAAAAAGAATACTGTTTTGCTTTTGTTTGTTTATTTGTTCGGTATTTTTTTGGCGGTACTTTCAAAAAATAGGTATTGGTGTGTGCATTATGTGTCACATTTCTCTTTATAATGCCGCTTATGACCTATTTTTCTTTTCTTTTCATAATTAAAGATTAATTATGACGGTAGTTAGAGTATTAACCGATTAGTTGACTAAGATTTTTTGAATGATGACTGTTTTCGTGGTTCGGTATTCTACTTTTCGGGCAGTCATTACAATAATGTTTATAAAAATATATTGAATCGTGTCTAATCAGTGAACCTCTTTTGCCGAATTGTTAACTTTCTCCTGCGTATCTTCGAGTCTAAGCGCTACTAGACATAGATCATCCACAAAAATCCAGATCATTAAGGGTCTTTTGGTAGATCCATCATATTTCTTGTCTTCTAACTCTCTAAAATCTGCTACAAGATCGAGTTGACTACAATCTCGAAGATCCTTGATGATAGTAGGTAGTCTTATCTTACTTCTATCTTTTTTCAAACGTCTTTTTAAGCTTTCTAGTACGAGTTATCATCTCCACATAGCTGTTGAATTAGGTTTATAAATCTTTGCGGTACTGCATCCAGTAAGTGTTAAGGTAGTTGATGAATTACTCTTCATGATTGACTCTGTCAAAGACCTTTTCAAAGTCGATGGACATGAACGACAGAGATAACTGCCATTTGGTTCACTCATTGTATAATTTTCCTGAATCCAACCTGTTCCAGGTAAAGTGTCCCATCTAGGACATCTTTAAGTTTTTCCAAGATGATGAGGCTTAATATTTTGCCTGGAGTAGATAGCAGAATGATTCCATTCTAGTTTTGCAAAGACCTAAGTTGCTTTGCTTTGGCGAATGGACAAGGTCGTCTTTCTTCCAATAGGCAGACACTTACAACATCTTTAGGTAATGGCCTGAGGATATCTGCTATGGTCACTGAGTCCATTTTAAGTGATTCTAGAGGGATTTCATGTGGTCCTGTCGCTTTACTGGAAGTCAGTAACTTTCTGACCTTCAAGATTTCTTCATTTAGAAAATTCATAACAATAGGTTGTAACCTATTCGAAAATGGGTGTTAGTATAAATTCGATTTAAAGACGTCATTGAATGATTAAAGCAAAATGAAATGGAGTAAATACGATTCATTTGGATGGACAAAAAATGTAGGTAGACCAGTGATTGAAGCAAGCCATCAGGGATACAGATCTGCTTCCTGAAGAGAAACTTTCCAACCTCGAATATGCAGGTGATATCGTCTTATCGTGCGATAGTATGCAGACTGCCCAAATCGCAGCTGATCAGTTGACGACCAGTGTGTATAAGATTGATGTGTGCTCTGTGACGTCTAAATGCAAGGTGTTGTTGCAAGATTGGCAGGGACCTGTACCTGCACTCATCCTTGAAGGTGAGCCGCCTGAAGTTTTCGACAATCTTGTGTGTGTAGATAGCTGTGTGAGCGCCGGTGAAGGTGTGACAGACAAAATCTCTGACCGCATAGTGAGACCTAGGTTGGCAGACACCTACTTGCGCCACCTCTGGCGCTGTCGCGAAGTTAACCTGACTGTCAAAGGTAGGGCATACAATGCTTCAGTGAGCGTAGTCTTGCTCTCCGTCTGTCATATTTGGCCTTCTTGAGCCGAGGATGTGCGGTAACCCTGCATCCTCGATCATCGCTGCCTCTGTAGAAATGCTTGGCATCATCGTTTGAGTAGTTCTGAAGCCTAGGTGTGTGTTCTGACATGGCAGAGGTCATTGAGTGTAGTCCTCTTGAAACATCAGATTTGGTGGATTGGACATTTGCTACGAATATCATCTTAGGAGCTTCCGTACCGGTCATTGTTCACTAGCTCTAAGACCGGATAGAAAAACGGAGAGGTGGTTAGCCCACCCATAGTGCTTTCGATGAAAGATAATTGTATTAGATTAGCATCATTTGGTATATCACAACTCCCTGGTTGAGGTCTAGGAGATAGCTCGATTCGATGACTCGAAACATCATCAGATATGGCCAAGAATCGTATCAAATTGCTTCGATTTCCTTCTTTCATCCCTTTCTGAAAATAAAATGAATTGATAAATGTTAATTGGTCTCGACAAGAATCCTTACTTGCCTTCTTTCTGGATGGAATCCCTCATTTATTCTATACCTATTTTCTTTATGCATTTTTGTTTTATTATTTTTGTGTAACGCATCTCTTGGTGCTTCTAGTGTACCAAGTCTGTGTTTTAAAAAAGTGAATAATTAATTAATCACTCAAAGAATTTGAAAAGAATTATTAATAGATTGAAAATGTAGCGGCAAGGCTAGACTTTAAGCACCGAAGAAGTGAGACTGCAGCAAGGACTTTGGAACGTTCAATGAGCAAGTTAGTGAAACCAGGTAAATCACATTATTATTATCATGAATAAAATATGCCTGATGAAATGTTATGGCATGAAATAGGACATATGGTAAATTTAAGGTAAGTTGTGGGAAAGATTTAGTTAAGCTTTAGGCTAAGGATATGTTAGGCTCAGGTTAACTTAATAAAGGGAGATATTAGGATTGTTTCGAGTTAGAATTGGACCAGTTTAGAGATAGTTTCCAGTTAGGATTAGGTTAAAAATAAATTAAGGTTAGAGTTAGGATTGACACTATTGACACTGCAGTGGAAAACTAGGAGGCACTTTTGTCCCACGTCAAAGAAGAGTATCCTGTGTAACAGTTTTACACCATTTTATTCGCCATTTTCACAAATGTTTTAATTCCTTTGAGTTCCGATTGGAATATAGGGCTTAAAGCATGATCTTCGAAGTTTCAGTAGCCGTAGCGTTTTTCATGGAGTGGGTTTGCTAGCCCCATGCCAAACCTTCCCCCTTTGTCGGGCTTACAGCCGGCTATGGGAGGTAAAGGTGCTCGGCAGCCGGGGATCAGACACCAGACCACAAACATGATCGGCCAGCATCCTACTGTTGAGCCAGCGACACACTATTTCTATGATTATACGTAAAGCCTTTTTCAAGTGATTGGTGCGTTGCATTCAAGTGCCGAAAGTTTGGCTTAGCCATTGTAACGGTTGTATATATCATACAACATAACTAGCTACTCCTTAAAACGATGCCATAAACTCAGTGAAAAGATAATAGGATTGATCAATTGACATATAACAAGAACAACAAATTGAGGAGGATAATATGATATCATTGTTTTATTTTGTCAGATTATTCTTTTATTTTGATTACAGCTTGGTGCCACACCGTATTTTCGGTACAAGTATGGAATTTTCAGCATGTGATATCGGCAGCCCAAATTTTGCAGGCCGACAATTGACATTAGGTGTGCGTCGACAGAGGATCGAACCCCGGACCATGTGTATTGTCGGCGAGAGTCCTAGCCACTGTGCCACCGACGGACATTTGAATGCCAATATGCCAGAAACTATTCGCGTACTTTACTTCTTTAGCATAGGGACAGAAGCCATTAAAATAACGTAATTAAATGAGGGAATGAAAAGGGGTAGAAGATGTGAGGCGTCCGAGGGTGTGCGTCGGTGGCACAGTGGTTAGGACTCTCGCCGACCATGCACATGGTCCGGGGTTCGAGCCCGCACCGACGCACACCTGATATCAATGGTCGGCCTGCAAAATTTGGGCTACCGATATCCATGCTGAAAATTCCATACTTGTACCGAAAATACAGTGTGGAATCAAGCTGTAAATCAAAAAAATATAGTGGAGATCGTGTAGGCAGGCAAAGAAAGCGTATATGTAATCCTAGAGCAATCAGCTAAAAAATGACTTCAGAGAATCGGGTGAGATGGAGATGTGCCGCTGAGATACTATGTTCCACTCACAATTCAAGCGAATACTGTTAATATACAGAAAAAAAGCATGAGAATATCCTAGAGATTAGAAAAAAATGACAAATTCATTAGAAGTGTAAAACTGAAAATACATCTCACGTAAGTATTCAATGGCGTAGTTGACTGGAGGTCAGAAAAATGGTGGTCTGAAATTCATGAATGAAACTGATAGTCGTCTGTCACAAGTAAATATTCAAGAATTGATTTGCAAGAATCGAAATCCAGTGGGTGTGTACTGCGGATGAGTCTCAAACTAGTATGAAACAGCTATCCAGTATTCAATGGTTTTCACTGGTTTTCTAACTGATATCTAACCTGAAACAACTAAATATGATTAAATTTTAGAAAGTGCAAAATAAAATGTATTCAACGTGGTAGGATGAAATAAGTAACACTATGACCGTCTTTAACCTTGGTAATATACAATTGATCGATGCACACTGTTGTATGCCACTAGCATGAGTCATTCTTGCTTACTTTTTTCAAAATCGTAGGCGTCTGAACACTAGATGCCCATCATGCTATTTAGGGACCAAGCTTATCAGTGATGGACTAGGTTTGTCTCAGGCCAGAGACTCGAAACATGCTTTTATGCTTCTCTTTCTTGAGTCATTTGTTAAACTTTCTACTAACCACTTGTATTCAGCAGGAATTGTGAGTCAGTTTTTCAGAGATATAGTGCTCGCTAACCACGCATGTGATCTGAGGATCGATCTCCGGTCAATGCACTCCTAAACCTCTCTAAGCCGATAGTAAGGCCAGGAAAGAGGGAAGGTTGAGCGTGAGGCTAGCGACCCCAACCCGTAAAAACAGAACTATTGTAACAACAGAAGACAAAGGCCAGGTGACAGATCGTTTATTTAAGAAATCAACACAAATTTATAGATTTCCATGTACATTATTATAGATTATTGTAAGCAGAAAAACACAGTCTTCTCATTGGTGGTTTCTCGCTGAAAGTTAATCTTTCATCCCTTTGTGGCTGCTTCTTGAATGTCAGATCATCTATATGCTAACCTTATCCGCCTACGCAAAGTCTGCTGTGGTTGGCTGTTGAATCAGTCTTTGTTCATATTTTCTCATGACCAATATTGGGGACGTACACATTGACGTAAATTACTATCTACCTATT